CCTGTGGAGGGTGTCTTCTCCGACTAGGATGTCTTCTAAACTTTGAGCGATGGCTTGTTCTTCATGGTTCTTGGCTATGAGTCCCATGACTTGGCCGATTCGTCGCGCAAAGGCCCGAGTGTACATTTCCGTATATTTAGTCACTGGCATTCGACCACGGCCTGGGACTTGGCAACTTCCGGCAATTGGCATGTGTTTATGATGTCCAAGGCACTGCCACTGTTCAATGGTCCTATGGAGTACTCTTGATGTGGTCCAAATTTGCATGCGTTTCTTCAAGAATGTGTCCCCGTGTTCCGGATGTTTCAAGTTTCCCCCTGTGCACATGTCGAACTTAGCTTGCAACGTGTAATGCACAATGAATGACAGTTCCCCCTGGAATAGCATATCCGAGTTTACTGGTTGTTCAAGGTGGAAATGACAATCTGACCTCCTACGGATCTGCATTCGGCATAAGGCATCACACAGGTGAAGGTGGCATCTCTCATGAGACCTTGCCCGAATGATCCTTTCAGCGAGAATCAGGGACTTCCCGGCGTTCAGATGACTCCATCCAGACCACGGTCCACAGGTGGGTGATGTCCAGATATTTCGAGGTCGGGTCACCCAGATGAGATCATATAGCTTGCAACGGCCCCCGAAAGTCCCAAGGTCTCCGTTATGGCGACAAAATCGAACGGCTTTGAGTCCGAGCTCCTGTGTTTGTGAGGTCAGTTGACTTTCAGTGTCGCAGTACACTTCTAGCAAGTCAATCCCTATTTTGCTCAAGTGGCGATCGATGGCTTCCGGGGTTCCATAGTGTTTCCCAAAATACTGTAACATTTCTTGGTAAATTGGATTTGTGACCTTGACCTGAAGATCCTGAAAATATGCCTGATCTATGACTTCTTCGGGATGAACTTGGTATGTGTCACACCCGGTGCAATCCATGAGCATGGATCTGACCTCACTCGGCACTTTGAGTGGACTTTCTGGCTCAGTCACCGCTCTCACTTGGTCTCGGTCTGTGTGGTGCCCGCTGTCTGAACTTCCAGCTTGGGATTGTTTGGCGTCAGCGCCTGGAGTATGGCTTGCAACGTGCTTTCCAGTTGATCGAGTCGGTGATTTTGCTGCTCGATGGTCAAATCGCGGAGATGATTCTCGTGATCTTCTTCCACCACGTCCCACATCCCTTCGCTCAGCCACACCGCATTCTCCTCTGTCGATGCAGGGCGCAAAGCTGAGCTTGCTTTGGCCTTGGGATATCCCTTGGTCGATGTGACCTGAGGGACGTCCACGGTCACTCCCCGGTTGGTCTCCTCTTCCTCGATGCACCTCCGGAGATAACTCACGAAAGCCTTGTGGTCTGGTTTGGGACTGTCCTGATAGCGACTGAGAAACCAGCTGACATACTTGGGATCGGTCTGCAGCACCTCGCGATAGGTTTGGCCTCTCTTGGCCTCTCCGAATGTGATCTTCATCATGGACAATTCCTCGATTGTCATCACTTCCGGATCCTGCTGTTCGGCTGTCACAGCCGTGTGCAGGGCCTTGAAGCGATCGGCCCGGGATGTTCCCTTGCTGCTGGACATGGCGATCAGGCTCACTCGACGGATCCGGATGGCTTGGGCACGAATCACTCTGTTCGGTGGTGGTGCACGACGGCTGATGCTTCGGAACCTGATCTTGCAACCTTGAACCTGGGATTTCACTTACACTTAGGATGCTGTCAGGACATACCTGAGTCGAACCTCGTGCCTGTGAGCTGGAATCCTTCTGTGCTAAACGAACGAGTTCTGCAAAATCCAGGAGGTAAAGTTTCTTGTCAGTCAGCTGCAGAGGGAGTCGCAGATTCAGGCGTCCAAAGAAAATCTCGTCCGAGGCGGTGTGAATCGAGGCTTCAAGCTTTCTGAACATGTTATTTGATAACAAGAACGGCGTTTTCGAAGGCACGATGCAAATCTTGACATAGTAAGGTCCTAGTGGAATCTGTACTGCTATTGCCGAATCGAAAATCCGTGCTGCATGACACTTCTCGGACGGGTGTGGACTTCGGCAGTTGCTGAATGACTTCATGCACCTGGTGTTCTCCAATCACCGTTTGACTGGCGCCTAAGTCCACAATTCCGAACGAGCCATGGCTTACAAAAAACGATGAGGCCTCCACCGGCGGTTCTTGGCCAGTGACTTCAGTCAGGGGGCTACGGTCCAGGCTAAGTCTAGCCTTCATGGTTGGCAACAGCCTGAGAGTGCATGACCGAACGGCTTGCGACCCCGTCTCGGTTGGGATGGTTTCCCTATGCTCTGTTTACCCCTATTTTGGCCCAAAGGAACATGCTGAACCATGAATGCTGTTGACCAGGTGGCTTCTGCAATGATCATGTCGTCTTCGTCATCGTTGGTCTGGTTCAGGTCGAGTTCATGGAGGGTCAAACCCGTGAATGTTCCATTCTCCCTGGGTGCAGTGGATCCAGAGGCTGCCGGATTCTGATTTCGTAGCGGACATTCCGCCTTCCAATGTCCACGGGCCCCGCAGCGTCGACAGTTGCTCTCAAGGATGCGTTGAGCGAGTGGCTTCCGAGGTCGAAAGTCGAATCGGCCGCCCTTACCTTTTTTGTCTTTGCCCTGCCCCTTTTTGGAGGGTCCCCAAAACCCCCTCCCCTTGGCTCGATCGGCGAGGCGCTTTCGAGCCTCGGTGTAGGCATTCAAACATGCGGCCATGTCGGGATCTCCCTGCAAGGTGTCCATGAGACCCTCTTCAAACTGCATGCAAACAACTGCATCGGGGTCACCCTCTTCGGCCAATTGTTCAATGAGATATTCATCAACAAAGTGTTCACCCGCAAAACCATGCTCCTCTTCCCCAGTGGAGTGTTGGGATGACATCGATGTTGGTTCATCTTCCGCGAACAATGCTGTTATAGGTCTTTGTACGTGTGGTGTTAGGCTTCCCGGTGTGAACCTCGTGGAAAAACCGGCTTCCCAAGAGCTTGAGGTTGGTGACCACGGAACGGTAGTCCAGGGATCCCTGGGATTCCACAATCAACCGCTTTTTGTCCTCGGGGCCCATGGAGGAGTTCCTCAACAAAATGTATGCACGGAACTCTTCAATCCCAACTTTCATCCCCATCAGCTCCTCGAACTGGTGGTCATGTCTGGCCAGGTAGCTCTCATGAGTCTCATCAGACCGCTGGACTGTTCCATAGATGGCCTTCTCGAAACGCTCAAACTTATCCTCCAGCCGTGACTTTCCCCAGATTCCTCCGAGGGTCTCCACGATGAGTTTCACACCATCCAAACTATTCACACGCAGCTCCTTCGGTTCAAGTCGGGAAACTCGTTGAAACGCTGAGCCTTCACATTGAAGTGCAATGCGGGGAGCCAACAACTGTAAATGCTCCTGTGGCCACAACTGCGCCAAAAACTCGACCTTTTTGGTCCACTCAGTCAGATCTGTTTCGCCCGGCTTGAATCCTGGAATTTGAGACCCCAGGGAAGATGGCTGAGGCTGCCAGTGTTGCTCACTCCAACATCTTTAGGCGGCATCGAATCACCTTCCTGGAACCCTCACAGCTTCCGAGATCGACCAGCGTCCTCACCTATCGGTCTCGGCCGTGATGGGCTCCGCTACCAATGTGTATTACACACACTGGCGCGGGCCCCGGCCACTTCCCACCACCTCGCGCTCCCAAGCGCGGCAGCTTCCTTTTCCAAAGACAACAGGCGTCCTCGCCTTCGAAGAACAACAGGCGTCCTCGCCTCCACGACCAACAGGCGTCCTCGCCTCCAAGAACAACAGGCGTCCTCGCCCGAGCCAACCAAGCCCCCTGACTTTCGAGCCTGATTGCATCGGATCAAATGCATCCCCTTCCACTCAACGAGTGACCCTTCGGCATCTGACGAGATCGAGCGACCGATGGTTTTGTGGAGGCACAAATCAACAATATATATATATATATATATCTGTGTGTGTGTGGCTCCGAACTGTGTTTGCATCATCATCTATTGTGATTGCAAGAGTATAGTCGAGCATGCACAACATGGTTTTGGGAATGGGACCTGGCTTTGTCAAGAGGAGATGCTTGGCTGCTCTTGTTCGGGAAAGAAAACGGCTACTCGGCTACACCCCAAACCCTTCCAGGTAGTGTGGATCCCGGCATATTGTTTCGAGAATATACCAGTTGATGGCATTACCGATGACATGGCTGCGAGCCGTCATACAACAGTCCGTCACATTGCTCGAAATAGGTTGGCAGACTTAACAGCGAAGGAATTTGCTGCAGCTGTTTCCCCTGTCCGACCACAGGTGCTACGGGAGGCTGACCAACGAAGCCTTCACCATCAGCGGTGGCTCTCTCAGCTACATGAGTTGCTTCCCACGTCAGGCCCACAGCACTTGGTTCAGGTCGATGACATTGGTAATGACATTGACATTGAAACTTGCCAAACAAAGTTTCCGCAGTGGCCATGGAACTGGCACGCAGCGCTCTACAGTTGGAAGCCGAAAATTCCTTGACTGTGCCTAAACCGGTTAAGTGGGATGGAACTTCACAGGAGTGGCAGGAGGTACGTTGCTTCTTCCGTGGACTGCGATGGGTCGAAGACCCAGACTGTGTAACATCCGTTTGTGAGCTTGTTGTTCTTTTCCATCATCAAGGGCGATCCTTTGGTGATGACCCACAGCTGGATACTTCTTTCCCTCAGCAACATTCCTCGCTTGGTACGCTAGACGTCCTAAAGACGTCCTAGAATCCAAACGGCACAGAGCAGTTGGAAACACTGAACAACAATGGGCCCTTGCTTAACAAGCGAAGGTATATACAATTGCAGCTGAGGTGTGGATACTCAAAGAACTCTGCAAGACTGGCCAGCTCTTGTCAAATGCCCTTCGAATTCGACCCCCCTCTCCCAAAAGAGGAGTAAACAGCAAGAGTCAACCAGTTGTGTGACCTTTCCACGAGTCACTCTTTGATCAAAACCCTTCATGGACACACATTGCCAATTCGTTGTACCATTGTGGCCTCCTGCTCAATCTCGACCTTGGCAGAGTCTTCCCCAACTAGTCGGAGATCATCTTTCCTTCCAGCTTAAAAACTGCGCACTAACTTCTAAATCAGCAATCTTTCACAGTGCCACTTTGCCCGATACTCGGCAGAACAGTTTGTCCACACTAGTCGCACAATCTCGCTGCACCACAAAAAGCTGCCTCTTCCCATTCTCACTGGTCTGGCCACCTGAAGCGACTTGTGACAGACTGGGCAAGTGAAAGGACGTCTTTGTTATCCAAGGACCTTTTGAGATCTTTAAGCACCGAGCTGGACCACCAGCCATGGCTTGAGCCCTTGTCTTCGGACCACCAAGCGTTGTCTTTGGACCACCAGCCCGTCTCATCTGCGGAGGCATCTTTCTTCTGCTGGTATCCATTGGAGCCGTTGGAGTTTCCATTCCCTTTGCAGCTGGACCAAGGGTCATGACCTGCGAGTTCAATCTCAGTGCAAGTTACCTTCCCATGGCAAGTCATTCAAACTAGTGAACCCCCTGATATTCTGTGAGATTACGTGCCTTTGCTCCAAGGATCTGCAGCCGTCCTAATGATTTAACAGCAGCCATGAGACTCCGCTGTCAGTATAGGTCAGCAAGCGACAGCAAAGGCGAACCTTTCATCTGCTGTCTTCGAGGAATAGACACCAGTGTTGGGTCCCTGGTCGCAGGATGTTGTTACTAATAGCTTCTTGTTACTACTAGTAAGGCACTTGTTACTAGAAGCGATGCACTTGTTCCTAGTAGCGTCCTTGTTCCTAGTATGCTTTGTTACATCATTTGATGCTGAAGCCTCCTCGAATCCGGGTGGAAGTCCCAGCGCCTCTCATGATGTTCAGAGAAACGTGGCCAAAAAGCCTGTACAGGATAAGGCGGCGGCACTCGAACCAGCTGAACCTGCGCAAAGGCATTCAAATGACAAGCCACTTGAAGTGCCTTCTCAGTTCCATGCTGTGGCAAGAGTAAGGTGCCCACCCCCTGCGAGGAAGGCCTGTCACAGGCTTCAAGCAAGGTCTGTTCTTGCACATAAAGCGGACACAACAGGAAAGCAATGGAGTATTTTGATGGATGTTGTAGTTCCTGCATTTTGTGTATTTACCAGCTTTGGTTTTTTCAGAACATATGTTTTGTGAGCAAGAAACTTGTCCCTGTATGTATAAGTGTGAAGACCTGCTGAAGTGATTAGGTTTGCAGCGATCTAAATTTGAATATGTGGGATGCGGATGCGGAATGCCTTGTCTTTTGACAAACACCGCTGCAACCAGACTTGAACACATCATGCCAAACAGGACTTCGAATGCACCCAACAGGGCATTCTAAGAAGTTTGTTAAGTCAAAACACAAAACCAGTGTTAGATCTCAATCAAGAGGAGTGGTGGAGGACATGTTCATTTACAGCAAAGCATTCCACTGTGCTTGTCTCACCATTCAGACTTACAATCAGTGCCCACATGTCTGTCCTCCAGTTCTTTGAGGTCCACGTGGTCTGATTCCTGCACATTGGCAAACTCGCTCGAGCTGGCAAAACAATGCAAAGCAGCGCACATGCAAGTGCTGGACATGTTGCTACAAACCCAAGATCAAACTATATAGTGAGAAATGGCGCCCCTGTAAATCTATTTCGCGGCTCCTGCTCAGGCATGTTCCAACAGCAAAGCTAAACTAAACTATGCAAACTTGCATGTCTGGCAGTTCCATTCCAGGTTTGCTGAGCCTGCTGCTAAGCTTTTGTAATGTGGTCGGGGTTCGGGTAACTCAATCTGTTCATGCTTGAAGCCCGATCTGAAAGGGGGTTGTAGGTGTTTGCGTGGCACAAAGGCTGACAGGAACGAAGCTCTAAAGACATGTGTTGTCAAGAAGTCCGCCTAGAGTTGTTGACAATTGATCCATCCTTTCATCTTCTTCTGAAGCTCGAATTCGCAGCGGAGAGGCGGAGAGATGGTGTGCAAAGATATTTCGAGGACCTAAACTGTGTACACACCGGCCAGCTTGAGACACTCTTGGTTCTTTTTGCACCAGAGTTTTGCATTGGCACGGCCAGAATGGCCCCCGAGAAGTGCATTCAGGCAGTGGTTCCTGCCACCAGCGCCTGTTAACATTTGTTTGATGGCTCAAGCAGCAAAGAGCAAAAGTGCCTGGCCTCCAGCACATCCACAGATGTCATAAGCATCTGCTCGGGAACTTGCTCCTAGACTCTGAACAAGAAATTCTGCCTTTTCGATCAAGCTGGAAAGGCTCTGAGTTCTGGCCAATGCAGGTCCTTATATCTTTCTAAGATTCTAGTCCCCGCAATATACAGAAGGCGAAAGAATGCAAACGTGTCTCGTGCCTTCTCCCCGAGCAGCGTGGTCTCGCGGACCTGCAAACAATCAGTGTGATATCCCAAATTGAAGGGTTGGTTAAGTTTCCAACAGTCCAGCATGTCAGCATGCTATTCAAAAAGTCCACCGTCACTCCATACAATTGAAGCTTCTCTGCAGATGGGCTGCTCGAAGCAGCTTCGCGCACCAAGCAATCCAATTTCTTCGAACGCTATCCTGGAGTAGAGCCAAAAGCTTGTAACGGCATCGATGGCGTCTTATGACACCTCTTGACCTCTCTTTTCAAGCAGACACCTGCGTCCAAACCATGAAGCTCGAGCAGCTCAAAGCCATGAAATATCAAATATGCAAAGCGTAACTTTTCCTGTAGACTTTTCTGCCGAAAAGTCTAGGAACCAAATGATTAGCGCGAGCACTTTAGGGCGGCGGGGGGAGCTTCTTGACGAAGCGTGAGCTATCCTGCATCCATATGTAGTAGCGTCTAGTAGCTAGGAGCGAACAAGTTTCTCCCTTACTTCATAAATTAAGTAGGCGGATACTTAATCAAGTAAGGAGGCAGGGCCACGGGCTTCAAAAAACAGGATTCTTCTTGAGGTTCTTTGTTTCAATCCTTGGCCCATGCTTTTCGCTCTTTCAGCAGCTCTTCCAGCTTTTGCCCGTCCTGTCGGAAACGACGTCGCATTGCTGACATCAACGGCGCTTTTCTTCGCTTCCGGTCCTCCAACTGAGCTTGAAGTTCCTGACTCTCCTCTACGGCCACGAGGGAAGATTTCGTCAATCAAACAGGATGTTCAGGTTGCATGCCTTCTGCAGCACCTTTTCCAACGCAGCAAGAGCGGCCTGTGACAATGTAGGTACCACCACAGAGGCAATGGCGGCAATGTCACACGCGGCTCAGGTCGTGATGGGCACGAAGGTGGTGTCATGATCGATAAATGCCATTTGCTCTCAGTCAGTTGTGATACTTTTTGATGTATTGCCTACTGTATAAGTTCGGCATACAATGCCAATGTCATGCACCTCCCCTGGTGGCGAGGCAGCAGCGGCATTGATATCCAGTACCTGGCTTGGAATGGCAATGACAAACTCACAAGATTCTCCAGAATTTCGACAAAGCTTGGAATGGCAAGCTTAGCTGAATGGCGTGTAAAAGAGCTCTTTGATTTGCAACGCACTCCTGTATCCTGTCGGACAAAGGCCTTCCAAGCATCCTGTCGCTGGGGTCATGCCTTCAAATTCCTGAAAAATATATACCGAGATCTCTCTGCACCGCTGCAATGAAATCTGCAGACAACTTTGGGTGCAGAAGCGCCTGTGCAGTACATTAGTACCTATTGAAACCTAAATTCTCTTCATCATGGCTTTGCTAAAGAGATTCCAAGCCTTCTATCGGGCGGGTCCTCTGGAAGAGGACTGCAGAACGGAGCGAACTCCCAGTCACAAAGCCTGCAAAACAGGCCAAGTGACCACAATGCCACAAAGTCCAACCCAATTCGAGTAAATCTCTTGTCCATCTTTCAATTGAATCTGCTTTAGCCTTAAACTACTCCCAGTGAGTCTTCCAAAGTGGGCAAATGGGAAAACTCAAAGGTCCTCAAAACCTGCTGACGTGACACGTTCCAAGGCACCGTCCGTGTTCGCGGACTTTGAGACAAGCTTCCGTGCAAACCTCAGCCCACAGACAAGATAGTGCTGATGAGTTGAACATGTTGGCTACTCGACTTTCTGCGTGGAGCTAGGACTCTTACCAGTGCAGTTGGTCGAACCGACCTGGCTTGGGCTCGCTGCCCTCTACGTTGCCAAATACGAATCATGTTACATAATCACGAAATGAACTTGCTCTCTCGTCTCACTGGGGCCCATGCTGGTACGGACTGAAGTCCACCTGTTGCTGTCGCAACCTTTCACAAGTTCAAGATCTCAAAACTTTGGACTTTGCACCCTGTCTTCCTCTCCATTCCCATCCTGTCCTTTTAGATCTTTTAGATAGCTTTCTCTGCACATGCAACCGAGCCTGCGGAATTTGCGTATAGTAAACGTTCGGAAAGGGTGCTGATTGTGGCACGCTCACTATGCGGACTGCCTGCTGTATCCTCGGAGATGGAAATGAAGGCAAGGTTCTGGGGGAAGCAACCGGGACACCAACATTTAGGTGGATAGAACCACTGTAGGGAGGAGTCTGGAGACCGGTCTGGATACTTCTCTGCAGTTGGATACTTGGTGCAGGGACTTGCTGAGTCCATGTAGTCTTCAGCAGTTCTTCTGTCGGCTGAGAGTGAATCTTGCCATCCACGGCCACGGGTGCCACGGGTGGATCTTGGACTTCGCTTGTTGGAGATGCAAGTTCCACCTGACAGGCCCCACAAGCTCCGCTGTCAAACTTCGGAGCTGAAGCAAGTTCCTCTTTGGGATCTGGCTCCTGTTCTGCTCTATCGTCTCTATCAAGCGCAGCTTGCAAGGTATCGAATCGTTTCCAGCACTCCTCAAGCTGTTGCTGCGCATCTTCCCAACGCTGCCGCCACAGATCCCCAGAATGCTCCAAGTCTTGCTTCTGATGAAGCAGCTGCCGATTCTGCTTTTCAGCCTCCTGGAGTCGCTTCTTCAAATCTCTGTTCTCGGCCTCCAATTCCTGAATTCGCTCGCGACCTCGCTCGCTTTCCAGCTTGGCCATGATGAAATCATCACGGAGAGTACCCAGCTCCTTCAATACTCCACCAAGAGACTCTGCATGATTGGATGTTAAACCATGTGCTTCAAAGGTTGGTGACATTGGACTGCTAGCAATGTCCCGGGTCTCAGGAGCCCGTCGGGGGCTCCCGCGTCTGTCTTCTTGAGGGTTCCTTTGGGGAGTTTTGCGGGCACCTTTGGGCTGCTGAGTTTTTTCTGTAGATCGGGGCCGTGGTCTTTGCGAAGTTCCTTGTCGACTCTGCAGTTGACTGGTTGGGAGTGCAGGTGGTGCCTGACCCGCACTTGGTTTGCTGGACGACCGAGCTGCAACTGTGCCAGCTTTCCCATCATTCTGCACAAACTCGGTTGGCTTCGGCAATCGGTTTGCAGGCTCCTTCATGTCCTGTAAACCTTCTTGCCATTTCTCATCATTGTTTGCATCATCTCCGTTCACTTCTGTATTCTCTGCACTCTGCGACTCTCCGACTCCCTCTTTTGGGACGGAATCTCCAAGAGGCTCCTGTGCATCTGGAGCTTGAAATGAACCTTCCTGCGGATCACACCACGATGGCAGCTGTGGCAACTGTGGCATTGGGATGCTTTCCGTGCCAGGCACCGGAAGCACTGGAGCTGGAGATGGTCGTGGCCCCCTTTTCTGCTCCAGGACTGGAACGATGCCTCGATGACGGCGTAGTTGAGTGCGATCCACCGCATAGGGTGAGCTTGCCATCAGCTACAAGTCTCTGAACTAGAGTGAATATATACTTATGAGCTACCGGGTTCCGGTATGGAACATGTTCCATCAGTATCTCCCTGTCAATTCTTGTCTCTTGCTCTGCTGAAGATAGATCTGCATTTATATTAGAACATACAGTGGATACTCTTACGAGTGTGAAAAGAACTGACCCTAATACATTCGCCTGGGCTCCAATCTAGGAAAGGCAACCAGCATGCCATACGTGCCAATCTACACATTTTTTCTCAGTGATACAAAACCAAACTAAAGAATTAATTGAAACATGTTGCTGCTAATGCAACGTTGTCTGGAATCTCTTGGATTCAACAATTGCATTCAACAATTGCATTCCAGAGAAGGAGGCACTCGCTTTGCTCGTGCATCCCAGTTCCCTGGCATGCGCAAGCCTTCCAAACCTCAGGGCTGCAAAGTCACAAAAGAAGCGGGAAGTCAGTCTCTAAACGAGAGGCTTCACAGTATGGGAGAGTTGCAGAGGTAAAGTCCTGCGAAAAGCCTCAAACAGCCGTTTATAGAATATGCCTGAGATTAACTTCTAAACGACAAGTGTTAGTGTTAGACTCCTTTTGTTTTCTTAGTAGCTCGCGCCCAAGACTTTCAGCGTGAGCTTCTAGGCGGGTGCGCAGTGCCTCCATCAACTCAATGTTTCTTGATGAGTCAAATACTTTCAATCACAATGGCCTCCGTTGGAGGCTATCGCTGCTAGGTTCCTTGTGCTACTAGGTTGGACACAATTGTCATCTTCACAGTCCGTCCTCCGGGCCACTCACAGCAGGTTTCTCCGGTGCTGCCTTGCGCAAAACACGCCTAGACTCGCAAAAGGATTTCTGGTTAAACCAAGTCCACCCCTACGGCCTCAATCTTCTTGTCCAAAAACAGCAACAGGCTTCGACAGGTCTGCAGGGTAGAGGGAGCCTATCGCAGGACAGAATGCTATGACAACTCCTGAAAAGTAAAGACTTAGCCTTGTCAAGAAGCTCTTTGACGAAGCCTGCTGTGCATTCTCAAAAGCTCTCTTGTCAAGAAGCGAAGCTTCAGGCAACCAAAACAAATCAAGTGGAAACTTCAAGCAGATCCATACTGGCCTCGTTTAAGACCAATGTTCGGTTTCTTAGCAGGTTGCTCTGCTATCTGCTTCTCCTTCTGGTAGTATTCCTGCTCTGCAAAGCGTTTGCACACTTTCTCCTGTATCATGTCCATTTGTCCTGAATGCTGCATTTGTCTAACCCCAGCGCGCGCGTGCGCGTGCGCGTGCGCTCTGTTTTTACGTAAGTTTAGTAACAAAGACGCCCTCAACTAAGCTGAAAAGCAGTCAAGCTCAGCGTGACTGTCTCCAAAGATCGGAATCAAAGTTGCATCAAAAATGCTGGAGCTGCCATTGCATTTTCGAGACTCCGTCGTTCGGCAATATGGTCCAAAATCCACTCACAAGTGGGCGTGCGCGCGCTCTCTCCCTCTCTCTCCCTCTCTCTCTCTCTCTCTCTCGCTTTCTCTCTCTCTCTCTCTCTCTCTCTCGCTCTCGCTCTCGCTCTCGCTCTCGCTCTCGCTCTCGCTCTCGCTCTCGCTCTCGCTCTCGCT